GGGCACAGCCAGGCTGGTGGCACCCAGGCGGTCACACACCCAGCAAACAGCAGGATCTCAACAGATGGCAGTACTCGAGAAGGAGCACAGCACCTGAGCCCACCCCAGCAGATCTTCCCCACACTCCCAGTTCCCTAGGACCAGCACCATATCACAGCCACTGTGATCTGCCTCATGTCCATCCACAACAGCAGCCACTGCTCAAGAGATCCAGCTTGCTCTGAGCCAGCCCAGGCAGCAAACAAGAGGGAAAGGGGTTTTTTTTTTAGCACTGACCTCTCCTTACATCAAGGGGCTCTGCCTCAACTCAGTGCTGGGAAGCCTCAAGGATCCTGCTGGGCTCTTATACCACCACTGCAGAGCCACGATCCAGGACTGCTCCTTCCACCCACCACATGCTTCAACAGGTCCCAGCTTCAGAGGCCCACTTCCACGATCTCCATGAAGCTTCCAGACAAGGCTGCTGCCAGCAGCAGCAACGTGGATGCTCTGAGGGCACCTTGGGCAGCCCACCCCAAAAAGGACTAGCATCTGCGAGCTTTGAGTCCATGACTTGCTCCCTGCCTTGGAAGCATCTACCACAGACAGTCTCCTGGGCTCTGGGTACCCAACACATCAGCCCAGGCTCCTACAAGCACCATGTGGTAACGGCCACCAGCCTCACCCCTGTTCTTATGAAAGAGTCTTGCATCCAGCCCCTGCTCTCCAGGGCAAGTCCTGCCCATAGCAGAGTCCTGCCCTCAGGGGTGCTGCCACAGCTGGAAGCATCTCTTTGCTGAAACGCTCCAGAAGCAGCGATAGCCCCTAGTGTCTCCTACTGCCTACTCGGAGCCTGGCTTAGAGGCACTCCAAAACAAGTGGTTTCACATCAGAGACGCAATGCAGCCCAACTCCATTGCACAAGCAATAGATGAAACGGTTCACCAGGTCCAAGCAGAACAAGACAAGCTGTATCAGTGTCTCTCTGCTTGTGTCAAGCTCTCCCCATCTTCCCAGGAGACCAATTCTGCACATCTTTGCACCTCAGAGTCTTCCAAGGGCAAAAGCAGACCTGGGCCCCCATTTTTGATGACTTCTTTCCCCAATATCACTACCACACAGTGGGGAAAAAAGTCTACCCATATCCACTGCAAGAAGTGAGCCAGGACTCTGTTCCTTCTGTCACAGCTGACCACAGCAACCATCCTTCCTGCCACCCAGCCCCAGGCCAGGCCATCTTCCCAAGCTCCCTGTTTCCTACGCCGCTCCCATCTCTCCCAGGCTGCTGATTCCCTTCGTTATGGCTCACGAGACCTGTGTCCTGCCTGTGATTTCAGGTTGCAAGATAGAAGCCAAGCTCCAGGTAGGAACTTGCTCCATTTCCAGGAACTGGAGAGGAAAGAGGTGAGATTAGACCCATGATTAAGGGCAGGGTCTGTCCCGGTATGCAATTCTGGAACAAAGTGACCGGCAAGTGCTGTTGTCTAACGTGCCCACTAGAATTTAGTCGTGTGCTATCGCTATCACGTCACTCACCTCCCCCACCGTGTGCCAGGAGTGAGGTCAAGGTGTATTTCTGGTTGCCCTTGAAGGGTCGTGGTTGGGGAGAAACCAGGTTTCTTTCACGCCAAATGGCAGGGTTGTCTCTGCCCTGGCTCAACCAGGCTGCTCCCCTCCCACCGGCGGGACCTGGCTGAGCCTGGCTCAGCTGGGAGGAGTTGATGTAAGATGGTGCCATGCTGTGTGCGCCATGTCATGTGCTGCCAAGTTGGAGATGTGGGTTAGAAAGAAGGCCTGGTATCTCATTCCCCAGGCTCTGGTGGGTGGGTAGCGTGAGGCCCATGCACTGGGTTGCCAAGGAGATAAGGGCTACAGAGATGGGCAGAAGCTTGCAAATCCCATGGTGCACCTTGGAGGAGAGATGGTTACCTTACCAGTCTTTCCAGACGTGGCTGCCATCATGCTTAACACTTCTAGGAATGGAGCTGTAGTACAGCCACTCCACTAGCTGCAATAAGGCATCACTAGGGTGTCCCATCTCCAGGGACAGCTCTGAGCTTCAGGGCTAGCCTGCGCTGACATCATGGCTGGAGTTCACTAGGGACATCAAAGGAGGGATTTGAGAGAGGGTGGGAAGGCAGATGGGACAATCTTAAAGTCAGTGGAGTCTCCACAGGTAGAGGCTTTTAGCAATGCAGGGTCAGGCCACAGTCATATCTATAGCAGCCTGGTGCCTGCCGGGAGCATCACCATGTCACGGCAGCTCAGGGGTGCCAGGAGCAGCAGCCATCAGTCTCCTCTGCAAGCAGCTTACCGACGGCTCCCAGCGTGCAAGCTGAGGCCAGGCCAGCCTCGCACCATGTCCTGCCCCTCATCACTCCTGCCATATGTCTGGGCAGCTCTTCAGGAGGTTGCATAGGTGCATCGCAGAGGGTGGCCACCTCCTTTCCCACTCACTACCAGACTTGAACAAAAAGCTGTGAGAGGATGAGCACTTCAGGTTTCAATCTTTTGCAACAGGCTCTCACTTTAGCTACAGCCTCCAACTTCACGCCTGCTTCAGGACAGACTGTTACGGAGCTGCTACAGCTCTGACCATCCCCATGAGCATCCTCCAGCCAACGCCAGTCTTGGGATGAAGAACTGCAGATGTCCTGGAGAACAACTTGTGCACCCAACACCCCACCAGCAAGGTGAACCAGCCCCTACCAGTGAGGGCAGAGGGCTCAGCACACCAAAGATGAAGGTTACAGCTTTTAGCCCAGTTTGTGAGCAAAAGTCATCTCACTGACTTGCTCCACCCTGCCTCAGCTCTGCAAGGGAGAGGGCTCCAGCCTAGAGACAGAGCAGCTCAGAGCTGCCAGCCTGAGTAATGTTTAACCCCATAAAACTTTATTGGTAACATATACTGTGCCAGAATGTCTCCCTGCGAGGTCACTGCTGGCTCAAGCGCAATGCAGCAAGGAGCAGCTGTAACTGCTCAGCCAGCCCAGCCGCTCTTTGGAAGAGAGCTGGGTCTGGCCATGGCCATAGGTGTGGAAGGGCTACGTTGGCTCCCTAAGGCTTAGGGGCACATCACTGCTTATGGACCTCCTTGGGCAGGGAGTCCTACCTACACAGGGAGCTCCCTGGAGCCTCAGGGTCATTCTTCAGGCCAGAAGACCTCTTTGAAAGCTAGTAGCTTGCCAACTGGAGGGCAGGAACTAAGACCCTCGAAGGAAAATATTTGGCTGAAGGCCTCCTTGATACCCTCCACTTTAGGAGTGCAGAGTTCTTCTCCCCCATCATACACCGTGAAGTTTTGTTGTCTAACCCTTACACTCAGAGTCCCCATACAGCCACTGATGATCATCCCTGAGGGAACTGCAGTAATGGTTTCACCTCCCTCAACCATCTCAGGCAGGCCAGAGGGTTTTGGTTTTTTTTCCCTGGTCCTCCCTGCCAGGAGCAATTCAACCGGCAACAGCCCTTGGCTCCACCACCCTACCCACAACTGGCAGGGAAAGGAGGACATCTGTTCTCCTGGGCTATCCAGGAGCAGAGCACACTCCCATAGCTACAGGCACCACCAGTAACTTTTGGAGAACACCAGCCAGCACAGCCCTCCCAGTGAAGGACCAGCCTGGCTCTGGAGGCCCTTGGAAGAACAAGCCAGTGCCTGGTCCTGCCCTGGGTCCCATGTACTTCTTGCCCACCCTGCAGGAGCTTCAGCCCAGCAGTAGCTCACCAGTGAAAGGGGAAAAGCCACAGAGGTCTGTGGGTGTGAGGGGCAGGACAGACAAACCTACGCAGGCCAGGAGCCCCCTCCACTGCCTCCATGCTGCACTTGGGAGACAAGCTTGGGTTGAAGCTGGGCAGTTACAGTCAAGATGCTCGTGGGAAGCAAGAAGATCCCGAAAGGCCAGCTGAGCTGACTGTCAGCCAGGTGGACAAGGTGAGGGGACACTGTTCTTCTTCCTCTCAATTTACCCAGGGAAGAGTGAAGCTAAACACCCTGCTTGGCAGGGCAGAGAGCAGAGGTTAAGCCTCAATGCTCTGAGGTCTAAGTCCAGAGTCCCACTGCCCTGGTCCCCCATGGCAGTACTACAGGAGCAGACACCAAAGCAGGCAGAGCACAGCTGGCTGGTAACACCAAGCAGGGCAAGCACAGGGGCTCCAGGTTCTCCTGTATGAGTGCTCCAAACCAAGCAACTTAACTTGGAACTAGAACACTGCTCCTCTGTTTTGGCTTTCCCTTTGCATTTCCATGGTTTCAGGGACCTCCTGCTCAGCAAAGGTATTGGTCTCAGTACATTAAAGCATTCCGGTTTCAGACCAGCACAGGCATCCCTACACCTCCAGCTGTCAGCAGCATACTCTGGGACACCACACAAGCTGGTTGCGCCACCACCAGCATTTCCAGAGGCTTGTACACAGAGTGACCCTCTCTAGCCTGCATTCAGGGTGCCTAACACCACTGTTAGGTGGAGTTCCTCGCTGTGGCAAGGCTCTGATCACTCCTCTCCTGCAGGACATCCTCCTCCAGCTTCAAAAGTATTTGAGTCACTTGGTCCGAGCAGGTCCCAGCTGAGCCCCTCAGCTTCAGCACCAAGCTAAGCCTGTTGCCCTTGCTGTGACTTCAAGGAGGACATTTCATAGCTATTTTATTTGCTGGCAGGTAGCATTTCTTCCCAGCAGTCCCACAATACAGCTCTCTGGCCACAGGGACCAGTAACATCAGCCAGAAGTTGAGCCCTGACTTTCTCCCATCTGCCTGCCGCTCGCAGGGAAGCAGGCTGGACCTGCAGGGTCAGAAATCATCATCCAGCTCTAACTGCTCTCGGCCACGTAGACCTCTCTCCTGTCGTTTGCTCAGGGCTGGGGGCCCCTCCATGCCCTTCAGCCAGGAGGAGGCTTTGCCCAGGAGCCAAGGTGCAGAGGCCAGGGTCAAACCAGCCAAGCAGAGACCCACGGGAGTGAGCGTCAGGGCAGGGGAGAGAGGAGAGCCTGGTTCCTGGCATGGGGTGCGGGTAGCAACTCACCTGAGCGTGAAGAGCAGCAGCTGCAGCAGCCGCCGCGGGGTACGTGAAGGCAGCATGGGGGATAGCAGGGGTTAGCTCCGTGGTGTACAGTGGGTAGGGAGCCCACGCTTCTGGGGATGCTGGAATAAGAGCCGCTCCAGTCAGGTCATCTAGACAGGAGGAAACAAGGTGACAGCATCTCAGTAGCTGGCCCCAACAGCCTGCTTCAAGGACATGCTCTGGATTTCCAACCCCAAACTAAAGCTTTGCAACTGGCATCTCAATGAGATATAAAATATAGCAGCCCTGCAGCATCTCTGTGACTGGCTCCTGCTCTGGCCTCCCAGATTTGCCAAGAGAGGCCAGGAACATGCTCCATCATTGCTCAGCACTGCACAAGGGCTTTGGGCAGGCTGGTTCACACACGCAGCCCAGGGCTGGTGCCACAGGATGGCAGGACAGAAGACAGAGCTCTTGGCACCACACTACAGGCTGCCCAACAAGCCTCAGCAGGGCTGCTCACCCCACCAGGCTATGCTGAGGGTGCATGGCACAGGACTCGTCCTTTCTGCTTCACACCCAGGGATGGTTTAAAGGACTTATGGTATCACTTGAGCTACCAAAACCAACTCTGTGCTCTCAACACTTTTAGTGTTGGCCAGAAGCCTTACCAGATGCCCGTTATTCTCCTGCAACCCTAACATGCTGGCCTTCCTGCACCAGCCAGATTTCAGCCAAAGCACACGTGGGTATAGTTTCCTTTCCACCCTGGCAGCATTCCCAGGGTTGGGCATCTCCCAGGCTGGACCAGCCATGACCTCAAAGTCACTCCCAGCATACTCACAGGGGTCCCGTGCAATGAAGTGTGCGCCCAAGGCAGGGTGGATATTGGTGGGGTTTGGCGTGGCCATCAGCTTGCTCTTGGCCATCTTTGTGTTGGCTTTAGCAAACTCTAACCGCAAGGTCTGGGGGTTCTCTGGGTCGAAGCGGATGCCCTGTCACAGAAGAAAGCACAGGAATCTTAGAGGTGAGGTTTCCAGTCCAAGCACAGGCTGCGTCTATTCATGGAGCAAAACCCAACCAGGGAATCAACACCATCATGCTGCAGCTACATGCCCAGATTTTTGTCACCTCACTGCAATATTCAAGCTCCCACATGCTTGTATTTCTGTGTTCAGCTGGCCTAGGACCACTTCTTCCAACATGAGGGACATAGGTTTTCTCCTTATGTGCAGTTCAACAGCCAGCATAGCAGTGACGGCTACCAACACTGGTCAGGAAAGATCTGTCCTCTGGAGCTGGGATAATCCCATATATACTGGGGCTCCCACCTGCAGTGCTGCTACTGCCAGCCTGGGCAGAGACACTAGCACATGCCCCAATGCCCAAGGCAAGGGCTTCAGCAGAGCAGATCAGCATGTCTTGCTGCTTAGATCCCACTAAATTCTGCAGGCCCACATGGGGTGGAGATTGTTTTGGGTGTGCCTGCCATGTTGACCATCCTCAAGTTTTTTCCTTGAGCTGCAGCAGTTCAGAAATGCTGTGAGTGCGCTAAAGAGCCTGTACCAGACAGCTTTGGTCCTGCCTCATGCCCTGCCGCGGGAACAGCAGCATTGGAATGCTGGTTTCCTTCCTTTCTGAAGGCTGCAGAGGTCCTTACAGGCCAGAGTCCAGGACAAGGACCTGCTCTGCCAAACTGCCACACACTTTTCATCAGGCCATTCAGTAAGTGAGACTTTAACAAGGCCACTAGCACAAAGCAAGTCCCACGGCCACATGACAGACCAGCTTTGTGATGAGCCTGCTTCGCTACCCACATATCCTGGTGAGCTTGACCTAGAGCCTCAAAGAGCTGATACTAAACACAAGTTGAGCTCCACATGCCTCATTAAAGCATTACAGCGTGTTAACTAGGTACCACCCTATATATGCCTAGGAATCATCTATGCCCCCAACACCTCTCTTCTCATCTGTTTGCTAAGGCTTGGTTCAGAGAAGATCTGCCTGCTTCAGGTACTCGAAGCCAAGCTCAAGTCATGCAGCCAAGCTAGGGTAAACCTCCACCTCGGTGCTCAGTGCAGACAGCAGGAGGAAAAGCTCCTTGAAGAGTAGCTCTAGCTGCACATCAACACACACAGGTAATCCACACTCATTTGAGAAGGAGGTCTCTCAGTCCACAACTCTTCCCCATACACAGGGAGCACTGAATGGATAAGGAACAGGATTCACAGCCTAGATCCTGTTATCAGAGGCCAGCTGTTGAGCAAGGAGGTATATGCCGACTTGAGAAAAGAAGTAGCTGTTCTTTCCCCACACCCTCAGAGGCTCTGCAGTAGTCTCCCAGTGGTCAGAAACTACACCTACACTAAGTGTAGGACAGTTGGCATCCATTTGCTCAGGCTGATGTCAGCCTTAAACAGCTCTCCTGCTTCACTGGTGGGATGCTGCAGGACCATTTAGCTTCCATACTCAAAGGCACAGCTGAGACACCCTGACCCTTCCTATGCTATGGACAAGCCAAGCATCACTCTAGCCCACAGCTCCAGGTCTAGCTACAGCAGGGCATACGGCCCCCAGCCCTTCCCAGGGCCTCCTGGCACATTGGGTACTCACATTCAAGGCATTCTTTGCTGCTTCAGCACCAGCTCGGCTGTCAAAGGTCACAAAACCAACTGGCTGAAAGAAATAATGCTGATTTCAGTTTGGAAGACTCTTCCAGCTCCTCAGACAAACCTGCCACCCACTCTGCCCCAGACAGCTTACAGCAAGCAGAAGAGACTATCTAAAGCTGCAGAGGGCCTTCAAGCAGAGCTTGAAGGGTCTTGGGTCATCGGCCCAAGATTCCTGTTCTGCATCTGCTCCCACCACAGCAAAATGCTTTGGCATTCCTACACATGGGGACACTGCTCACCCTGTTAGCCCTCAGCAAGGGTACCCCTTGCCCCAGAGGGGAATTACTGCCTTGATTAGGATGGGACTGGGGAAGGTTTCTGGCATCACAGGGTTTGAGGCTGAAGCATCAGGTCTCACGCAGCCCGTATGCCCTTAGGCAGCAATAGAAGATATGGAGCCATTCAGCACATGGGGCCACCAGGGCAGTGGGGATGAGCAGAACTCAGCTGTATACCTGGTGCTGAACAGACAGTGCTTTACATAGTGAAATGGTATCTGTGCCCCCCTCCCGTCCCGGCATGTCTGGTTTTCTAGCAAAAGCCAAAAATACCCAAGCTGGAAGAAAGAGGTACCTGCTTTGAAGTTAGCTTGATCAGTGACCCTTCATAACCCTGTAGAAGGGAAGAAACCAAATCAGCATCAGGTTCCTGAAGGAGCCAAGCTACAACAGAGACATGACAGTGACAGCTCCAGGAGCTCCTGTAGCACCAAACCCTCCGTAAGGCAGGGTTTGCAGCAGGACTTAGTACATTAACACTTCTCCTCTCTCCCACCAAAAAAGAAGACTGAGATTAGACTAAGGGCAGAGCAGGTATGTCCGATAGTCCATCCTGGCCCACTGGGAAGAAATCCCATTTTCTAGCTCTTCATCAAGCTACTAAGATGAGCACCCTGCCTGGCTAATGCCTAGAGAGCACAGAGCACCCTGTGCTAGAAGAGCACAGACAGAGGAACCCCACTTCCCCCAGGGACAGCCTATGTGGCTATCTAGTGAAGGATGGATGGTTGGGGCATCAGGACACATCCTCAAGGAAGGGCTGGCCCAGTTGGGCAGCAGGGCTGACAAAACAGCTTGAAGACAACGTGCTCTCAACAACAGGCTCCAGGGGAAGTTACAGAGCTGAGCGCAAGCCATGGGATACCACGCTGGTTTCATACCAGGTTCCCCAAGCTTTCACAGAAGGCCTACCTTCCCACTGCATCCTTGCGTCCCCTCTGACAGAGATCTTTGCTGCAAGGTTGGCCACCAGACAGCATCTTTCCCACCAAAGACCAAATCTGAAGACCTTCTTACCTTGAATGGTCGGAAGAGTAGGTAGAGCTCTCTGGGCTTGATATCCACAGGAAGGCCGCTGACAAACAGTGTCCGTACCTAGGAGAGAGGTCCACAAGGTCTACTGAAAGGATATGCTTAGTACCAAAGCAGGAGTACAGAGCTTCTGAACTGAAGCCAGGTGCAGTAAGAGTAGGACACTTTGCACCAAAGGTGGTCTTGCATGCACTAACCCTTCCCTACGTTAGAGGAGTGTTGTCCAGGATAAAAATACACCCAGTTCTTTCCTCCCTGCCATAAAGGATTCAGACATTTACAAAAATTCAGTCTCTAGCAGAATAGTCTGGGTTGATTAGGGCATGAACACCAACCCCACAGTCTGACTGGACCTTGGTGACTAAAACTCAAAAAGACTGCTAGAAGATCATACACTGCCAAAAGTACTAACACAGAGTTCAACACATGCCAAAGGTCCAGAAGAGACTAGTACAAACCCCAGTTGTCCTATCTCTTTCTACAGATCATACACTAGATCTCCATTCCTTAGCCTATCCTGGCACTTTACTTCAGCCACTGATTCAAAGGCAGCCCTCAGTTTTGAAAAATACCTCACTGCTATACTTGCACCTTGACTTCTGGCAAAAGCCCCAGAACATCATTGGGAGGATGATTTTTGAGTCTATCCCAGCTCCTTCACCAACACACATCAGACCTTTCAGAAGTTGCTCCCAAACCAGCTCTTGCAGTGTTTGTTCTATTGTGCCCAGCCGAAGGCCAGCTGTGCTGCACCAAGTCCACGTAGGCTGCTGCTCTTTCCAAGCTGTAGAAGTCGCATACCAAGTCCAAACGCACTCAGTATAAGCAAAAATACAGTATCAGAGGAAGACTGAGATAGTCTGTTGAAATTATCTATGGTACTTCACATGAATAGAAGAAACAGTGCTGAAGGCTCACAGCCTGGGAGAACTCTGCTTAACAGCCAGACCATCATGGCCACCTTCTCCCTACACTGGGAGATGTTGGCCAATAGCCTATTTCCATAGGAAGTAGCATGACAAAGCTGCCAAGACTTCTTGTAAATCAGCACAGAGCTGGAAAGGGAAGCTATGCACGTCCAGGACACTAGTCAGCATTAACAAGGACCAGGCAACCGCAAGCACCGCTCGGCCAGCACCGACAGACAGGCGAGGGAAGACACAAGACTGTGGGAATGAGATGGAGCTCTGTGTTCCTTGCTTCTCATTGCATGGGGATGACACTCATCAAGCCAGTCCCAAACAAGCCACAAGAAGGTCGTGGGAGAGCACTGATGCCCAAACGCTCAGAATGGCACCAAACAGCACCAGATGCTTTTGAGTTGCAAAACATGCAGCAGGACCAGGAGCCCTAAGCCAGCGCCCATCTCCTGACCTGTTTCCAGTCTGGAGTGACCCCGTTACCTTTGCAGGGCAGAAGCACTCTGCTCCCACATTTTGGTTTTGGCTCAGCTATTTCCTCTTCCCCAAGGTGGGTCGTATCCGACACCTCATTAAACCTCTTTGCCACCAAAATGAGCAGCACACACTTGCCCTGCTCCTGGGCTGGAGACAGCAGCCACCTGAAAACACGGGAGCATGCAGCGGAGCCTCTGCACTCTGTAACTCTTTGGAGGCAGTCGGATTCAGACTTCTCTAAGTAGGGAAGTTTCGCCTACTTACAGGAGAAAAACACACCCCTCCTTGAGCTCCTGTGCCCAAGAGAGTTCTGCCAGGGCAGAGATACCCTTCGTATCAACTCAGGGGGGCAGCTTAAGCCCTCCAGGATGGACAGTGTTCATGAGAATCTTGGGGTCCTCTGCCCCTCTTGCTCTCCACCCATGCTGAAACTAAGGGCTGCTACCACCCCCCCATCAGTGTGCAGAGCCCTTCTCCCACCTGGCTTATGTCAAGACTGCTGCAGAATGCAACAACTGAGTGTCCTTCCCTCCAACACTGGCATCCTTCCCATCCCCTCCCCAGTCCCTCAGTATGGATGGCCCTACCACACACGCCAGCTTTTGCTTTGCCCTGTCTAGGGAAGCAGGATGCTATTTGGAGCACTCCAGAAACAATTTCCATGCCCAGGCTCAGTCCTACAGTCTCCCCACCCAGCCCAGTCCCTCATTTGATGCATCACTCCTGGGCCACCTCATGCCCAAACAGAGTGGGCAACAGCGATGTCTCTTGGCTTGCTGACTGCCTCAAAGACTTTGGCGCTGGCGCTTCAGCGTGAGCTACATGGAACACCTGCGGGGCATTCCCAGAAGACCCACGGCCATCTCTTGCAGGGGAGGACTGTGCAAAGTGTGGTAGCACACATGTGCCTCAGCCATGTGAAAGCACCATCCCTTTTCAATATTTCAGGATCTGAGTATGCTCAGACCACAGAATGGATGTTTCTTCCAAGCAGATAGAAATCTGCATCCCTGTTGGGTCTCTAAATGGTCCCGTGATGTGTTGCTTGGTAAGTCCTTGCGACAGGCGTGACAGAATGGAAGATGCGTGGTTGCTCAGGGAAGGGGAAGTCAGCTACTCAAAGCACTTACAACAGCCTGAACAGAGCAACACACAGGTGCCTAGGAAAGCTCTTTGTCAGAGGTAACAAGTTCCCAATGCCAGCCTCCTAAGCTCCTGTCCTTAGCAGCAACAAGAGACCTTCTCGCACAGGCCAAAACCTTCCCTTGACCTCCAGGTCCAGTTTGTCACCATAGACAGCATTGGACAGGGGATCCCAGCCAACCCACAGCACCTGCCAAGGGCTGGCATTGCCCCAAAGAAAGCCTGGACAATCCCAAATGCCATCAGCTAACATCTTCAAATAAGGTTTCCCCAAGGGTCGCAAGATAGACCAAGGAAGGTCCCTGCTCAGAAGAGCTTGTTAGAAGTGATGAGACCAAGTGGTTGGTTTTCTGAGATCTCTGCAATTCAGCACATCCATGAGTGATCTAGAAAAGGGTAAGGGGAAAGGGAGACCACGTTATTCAGGGAAAAGAAGGTGAGGCTTGCGAGAGACCTGCGCAATGCACGTGAGGGACAGAGTGAGGAAAGCGAGAGGAGATTGCTTCTGAGAGAGCAGGCACAAACATGGGTCAGTAGCAATCAGAAAGCAAAGGAGATCTGGGGTATCCTACAGGAGAAAAGCAGGAAGCAAGTTGCCGGTCTGAGCATCTTGTGCACTGTGGGCAGCCCTGGTCCAGCCTCCTCCCCCTGCTCCCCAGAAGAGGAAACCGTAAATGAGTGCAACAAGATCTAGACAAGCATCTTCCAGTGGATTAACCGAACTGGGATTCTCCAGTCACCCCTTTGCAGCCCAAGTCCTGCAGGCTTTGAGAGGCCACTAGGACCACCCAGTGCTGATTAATCCAGGCTTCCAGCCCTTGCACTTAACGTGCCATGACAGGGTAGGCTTCTGCTTAAATATATTTGCCCTGCTTCGACTCCCTGCCACCAAATACCAGATTCATGTAGATATTCAGCCTCCCCATAGAGGAGCTGGAAAAGCCACAGAACAACAAAAAAAATAAAAATAAATCCATCCTATGTTAGATCAGGAACTGCCTGAGCCAAAC